GAGCAGGAGAGGGAGAGAGAGAGAGAGAGAGAGAGAGAGAGGTGAAATAATAGGGGCCTGAATTAGTTACTTTTATATTGATGTACCAAAACACCATAACCAAGGCAATTTATAGAAAAAATGTTTGGGCCTGAAATTCCAGAGGGACAAGAGTCCATTATCACCAAGGGAACATGGCAGCAGGTAGGCAGGTTGACAGCTCACATCTTAAAAATCAAGCAGAAAGCAGAGTGCACACTGGGAATGGTATGAGGCATTGAACAAAGCCTGCCCCCAGTGACATACTTCCTCCAGAAAGAGCATACCTCCTATACTGCTTTAATGGTATCACCACCTGGGACCAAGTATTTAAATGTAAAACCTGGGATATCTCGTTCAAACAGCTTCATTCTACTTCCTGGCTCCTGTAGTCTTATGGTCATATCACAATGCAAAATGCATTTAGTCAAACTTCAAAGTCCCCATAGTCTATCATAGTCTCAACACTATAAAAACCCAAATATATGGATCTTATACCATCCCGCGATCCACACCACCAGAGAAGCTAGGAAACACGGAGGACTCTAAGAGAGACATACATGGTCCCCCAGAGAAGGGGAAAGGGACAAGATCTCCTGAGCAAATTGGAAGCATGGGGGGAGGGGAGAGGGAGCTAGGAGAATGAGAAGGGGAGAAGAGGAGGGGTGAGGAGGACATGAGGGAGCAGAAAGGCTGAGTCTGGGGAAGAGTAGAAGATAACAAGATAAGAGATACCATAATAGAGGGAGACATTTTAAGTTTAAAGAGAAATCAGGCACTAGGGAAATGTCTGGAGAGCTACAAAGATGACACCAGCTAACAATCTAAGCAACAGAGGAGAGGCTACCTTAAATGCCCTCCCCCGATAATGAGATAGATGACTGACTTATATGCCATCCTATAGCTCTCATCTAGCAGCAGCTGATGGAAGTAGAAGCAGAAACCTACAGCTAATCACTGAACTGAACTGGAATCCAGTTGCAGAGAAGGAGGAGTGATGAGCAAAGGGGTCCAGACCAGGCTGGTGAAACCCACCGAAACAGCTGGCCTGAACAATGGGGAGCTCTTGGTCTCCAGACTGATAGTTGGGATACCAGCATGGGACTGATCCAGACCCCAGGAACATGGATGTCAGTGAGGAGACCTCAGAAATCCATGGGGCCCCCTGTAGTAGGTCAGTACTTATCCCTAGCATAGGAATGGACTTTGGGAGCCCATTCCACATAGAGGGATACTCCCTGAGCCAAGACACATGGGGGTGGGCCTAGGCCCTATCCAAAGGATATAACAGACTCTGAAGACCCCCTATGGAAGGCCTTACCCTCCCTGGGGAGAAGAAAGGTATGTGATAGGTAGGGTCTAAGTTGGCTGGGAGATGGTGGAGGAGGGGAGGGAGAGGGTACTGGGATTGTCATGTAAAACAATCTTGTTTCTAATTCAAATTAAAAAAATGGAAAAAAAACCTAACCACAAACAAACAAACCCCAAAGTCTCAAGCAATCTGTAAACTGTAACCCTCTGAAAATCAAAACCCAAATTACATACTTCCAACATTCAATGGCATAGAATATACATTCCCATTCCATAGGGGAAAATAGGGTGCGTAGTAAGGAAATACGAGCCTAAGCAAGCCTGAAAAAGTCGGGACAAACTCCAAGTCCTGTAGCTCCAGGTCTGATGTCAAAGGGTTTCTATGGCTCTGCCTCTTGTACTTTGCTGCCTGCAATATACCACCTTCTCTCTAGGCTACTTCTGCTCCGGTGTGTAGCTCTCCTTGGCAGACTTCACTTTCACAGGTCTGTGCAATGGCCTCTCAGGGCCTCTTGTCCTTTCAGCCCCTTCACCAAATGACTCCCAGTGACATGCTGCCTGGCTTCTGAGACTCTAGGAAACCATGGAGACAATTCAATAACCCCTTTCCTCATGCATACTTTCTGACTCCAAAGGCAGAGCTGTGTGCAACAAACTGCCAAGCTCAGCTGCCAGCTTGAGGAGGGTCCTTACTCACCAAGCCACATTTGCAGCAGCTTTTGTCTGTTGTTCCTCTCTAGAGAAGAATCTTCCTTAGGCCTTTTCCTTTCATCAGCTGCAAGTTTAGCTGGGTGCTTTCTTGACGGGAAGCACCCCTCCCTTTATTCCAGCATAGATCAGGCCTCTCTTTAATCTCCTTACCTCTTTAGGCACAAGCCTTAGCTGCAACATTAAGTTTCCTGGTGCTCTTTTTCTCTTCAAATGTATATTTTCTATTTCTTTCTGCCTTATTTGTTCTTTTTCACTGTAGACCTGCACAAGAGTGATTACTAATAACCATGGAGCAGAGTCAATATTAGGCTGTCTTAAAATGTCCTACACCCAAGGAATTGGTTCATTACTTTTAAATTTAATCTCAGGCAAGTTCTTAGGACAGAAGCAGAAAGCAACCACATTCTTTGCCGAGATATCACAAGAATTGGTCTCTAGCCCAGTTGCTAACATTGTTCCCCTCCAGAACCTCTTGAGCTGGGCCTCCACAGTCCATGTAACTCTCAACACTACTGTCTTCCAGACTCCTACAAGGATGGCCTATTAAGCCACTTTTCTAGTTCAAACTTCCAAAGTCGTCTTCTACACTCCTCCACAAAACAGAATGGTCAGGTTTCACAACAACACTCTCTAACACCAGCTTTTGTCTTCCTATTATTGTGGTAAAGCATCATGACTAAATCGACTTACAGAAAGAAGATTTTATCTGGGGCTTGTGGTTCACAGGGATAAGAGTCCATCACAGTCACAGTAGGAAGCATGGCAGCAAGCAGGCATGGTGACTGAAGGAGCTAAGATCACACATCTTAAACAGGAAGCAGACAGCACACTTAAATTGACAGCAGGGTTTGAACTCTCAAACTTCACCCTCAGTGACATACTTCCTGCAGTAAGGCACATCTCATTAACTGTCAAACAGAGCCATCGACTAAGAACCACTTCTTAAATGCAGAAGACGGTGGAGGACATCACATTCAAAGCACCACAGGCCCCTTTCCTCTGACTCCGTAACTTGTGAAGTCAACATGAGAGTTTGTCATTAGAGAAAAAATGTTTTTAGATTCCCATAAGTTAGCATCTGCTACTGGTACTTCTGGAAGACATTTTAGATTTCCAGAAAAAGAATTTCCTATGCCATGACTACTGAATAAGAAACAATTGCCAAAGGAAAATAAAAGTGTTTTTCAGGCTAAATTGTTAGTGAAAAGTTATTGATAACCATTTCAAACACACAGACTATTTATTACATATGGGTCTGTTGCCCTAAAAGTATTTTCATAGATATAAAATAATTTTACCCATGTGCAGAAAAGATTTGAACCAACTTACTTTACTCTGCATCTTTGAATACAGGAACAGTTTTCATTTTTTAACTTTTAACAATGTTATAAATGACCATTCTTAGTCAACCAAAGAATCATTAAGTAATATGGATAATACTCTGGTAATACTTCTTATCAGAATCTATTTTCAATTGTGCAATATTTAACAACAAAGCTTCATTTCAACATTCTAGGTACAAAACATGAGTTTATGTTTTTAAAGACAGTATATTAGATGGTAAGTATGATTTCCTCTGTCGCAGATACCAAGAGATCAAAGAAGGAATGGATTACTCAGAAAAATATTTTTAGATGAAAAACAAAGCAGTTATACCACTGAATGAGTTTTTGATTTGGCAAATTCACCATTGTTATGTAGATACAATATGAAATAGTCACTACCTACCATGAAAATGGAACTAAAACCTCTGCATACTATTTGAGTAACTACAATGCCATTAAGCGACTGGCACTCGGCATTTACGGAAATGTATGTGGAGAGTTTATGCACAAGGGCACAGTTGCCCGCCGAGTCTAGGAAAGGGTGTCAGATGCCTTGGAGCTAGAGTTACAGGTGGTTGTGAACTGCCTAACAAGAGTGCTAGGAGCAAAATTTGGGTCCTCTGGAAAAGCAGCAAGTGCTCCTAACCATTGTTCAGGTGACCAAAGTCCAAAACTTTAAAAAAATTAAAGAAAAAAAATAAAGAATTTGTAAAATTGAGCTTCTCAGAACTATATAGTTTTAACCTTTTATTTTTTACTATTGCAGAGACTTAGAAGAAATTAAGAACTGAATTTAAAATTCATCCATGCTGAATTTTATGTACCACCACTTTAAAAAACAACCACCCTCTAGGGACATTGCTCATTTAAACCACACAGTGATCACACAGTTTGTGATTGTTTCTTATCCTGGGCTCTAGAATTATCACCCTAAAGCCATGTGTCAGTCAGAGGTCACAGTTCTTTATAAATAGCTAAATATTAATATTACTGTTCCACATGCTGTGTCACAATTTAAGTATGCTTAAGGAAACTTGACTTTATGAATGTAACGGTAATCTTAAGCAAAACTAAATACATCATTTTGTGATTTATATATTAAATATTAGTAATACAATACAGTACAGCTTAAACGGTTACGGAAGTCAATCTTTGCAGTGTCTTTGCCTGATTTGTAACCTGAGACAGGGTTTTTGGCCTCTATGTCTCTTGGTTTCTTCTTCTATAAAATGTCTCCAGTCCGAGGCGCTGCTCCAGGAGGTGGTGCAGTTGTGCTGCAGGACACTGGTCCTCCCTCAGCTTCTAGATGGCTCCCTGCTCTGGCCTATGGTAGAAGATGTGACCTCTCAACTTCCCACTCCTGCCAACATGCCTGCTTCCTCTTCCACCCGTGATAGACTCTTATCCCTCTGGAGCCAAAATAAATTTTCTTCTATAGACTGCCTTAGGCATGGTATTGTATGACAGCAACAGAGACATAGCTAATAAAATTACCCATCACATTGAACTGTGAGAATCTGAGAATCAATGCCAAAGGTGCAGTACAAAATTATTAAGTATATGATGCTAATGAAAGATATATGCCCATTAGTAGCAAACTAAAATGCACTTAACATTTAAAGAATAAAAACTGAAAAAAAAAAAAAAAGCTGAATCCACGGACACTCTGTAATATTTTCTTGAACAGTAAGGGGAATTTTTGTTTGTTTCTTTGTTCATTTTGTTTGTAAAGATAGTAACTGGGCCAGCAAGTGGTTCAATGCTTAAAGGTACCTGCTCCCAAGCCTGCCAAACTGAGTTTGATGCCCAATGCCCTCGTGGGAGGAGAAAAAACAGAGAGCAAAAGACTGTCTTTTGACTTCCACAAGGTGCTGTGTGCCCTCACATTCAATATCAATAAATGAGGCTTTGAAAAATTGGTAACTTAAAAAAAAACAAGTGAAATTCTACACTAAGTGAAATGACAGTCCTGAGAAGCAAGCACACAACAATAGTGAAGACCTAGAACAATTGAAAGTTGCTGTGGTTTTCCAAGGAAAACACCAAAACTAAATATCTCTTAAAATGAAACACGTTTTATGATATATAAAAAGAATTAAAATAATTTGCCATTCTAATTTTAAGCTTTGTTTAAATAAGAAAAAAACAGGTATTATGTGCCTCAGGGCTTAAGAGAACTTGCTGCTCCTGGAGTGGACCTATGTTCAGTTCCTAGCACAACTTCCCTTAACTCTAGTTTCAGGGAATCTAATGCCTTCTTCTGGCTTCCAAGGGTACTGTATGTATATGGTACACAGACATACATACAGGCAAACACTCATACATATTTACAAAATAATAATGATAAACTGATTTATTTTAAATATGTTATTAAGAAAAATGCTGGCCATGATGGAACACATCATTAATCCCAGCACTTGGGAGGCAGAAGCAGGAAGATCTCAGTAAATTTGGAGTCAATCTAGACTACATAGCAATTCCCAGGCTAGACAAGGTTATATTGAGAAACTCTGTCTTTAAAAGCAAACAAATAAAAAGGGGGGGCAGGACTTTAGTGAAACTTGAGTTAAATAGTTTTGCTTTTTATTTTTAAGTAACAATAATTTTAATGTTAAGCAGCATGGGAGAAAGCAGGGAAGAGGAAAGGGAAAGGGAAAAGAAGGGAATAAGAATAGTGCCTGCATGCTTTCTGGTAAGGAAATTCTTTGTACCCAGTTGCTACAGGGAGTAATAGCATACCAGTTTGAAGGCATTTGTCTTTTAAAAAGCAATAAAGCAAGAAACAGAAGTGGAAAATACAGATGAATTTATGAAATGAAGAGGGGTCTCTTTCCTGTTTTCTACTTAATAAATGGGGTGGGGGGCAGTACAATTTAAAAGATAAAAGATGAGCATGGTGGTGCAATACCATGATTCCCAAACTTGGGAGGCTGGTGGATCTCTGTGAGTTCAAGGCCAGCCTGGTCTACATAGTAAGGTGCATGCCAGTCAAGGCTAGATAGTTAAGCCCTGTCTCAAACAAACAACAACAAAAGACGCAAGGATGATTAAGAAATCAATATACTGATAGTCAGAAACTAACAACAGCCTAAAGGCAATTATTGGGGATTCAACTGCCTCTTTCCAAAATTTTAAACACTAAGATAAGCTTACACAGGTGAAAAGACAGCAAATGACTGAAATGGGTTATTTCAGACACAAATATGACAAAGACTGGCTCTAAAAACTAATCCAGAGCCTGGCGTTGGTGGCGCATGCCTTTAATCCCAGCACTTGGGAGGCCGAGGCAGGCGGATCTCTGTGAGTTCAAGGCTGTCTGATCTCCATAGCGAGTGCCAGGATAGGCTCCAAAGCTACACAGAGAAACCCTGTCTCGAAAACAAAACAAAACTAATCCAGATCATACCAGTCTCCACAAATTAATGAAAACAGAAGCAGAAGGAAAGAAGGCCACCAAGGAATGTCAATTTCATACAATAAAATATTCTGTACCATTGGCTATTTTATTAAAATGGCACATTTATTTTAGATCAACAACAAGCACAAACAATCATAGTGACAACTCACTCAAGACAGGGTCATGTCCCCACCAAGATCACAATGTGACAATCAATACAACTGATGAGTCTACACATCAATGAGTAAATCACTGGGGCAAAGGCAGTCTAACTTTTGTTCTCTTAAAATCACCAGCAGTAAATCAAAAAACAAGATGAAGAAAAGCAAAAAAAGAAAATGTTTTTGTAGACAGGAAAACCCAGGGCATTTGTACAAAGCAAAAATAAACATATACACTGGGAAGAGAGGCTATATAATTAAATATAAAACTGATGGAAAAGATATCCTTACAATGTGAAATTGGGAGCAATAAAATTGGTAAGAATTACAAATAGTCTAGAAACAGTGAAGGGTTAAGCACAAGCTATCCAATATACTAATAACACTCATAGTTCCTGTAACAACTAAGTATAAAATTTAAACAGTCTGCTGATGTCTGAAGAGTAAGTAATGAGTTCACTATTATTTGGGAAAACAGACTTTGGGATTCCCTCTTTATAGACAAGCACGCTACTCCAGGTGTCACAGTTCCACAGTAATAATACTTTAGCACACATCTAAGATCAACTTTTTTAAAAGCACACACACACACACACACACACACACACACACACACACACGATGAATTGAATCCGGGGGCATAGTCTCTCCCAATCTGCCTATTTTGATCCAGTCTAGCAGCTGTGGCAAGTGGTGGTTGGTAGTGCATCAGCAGGATGCAGCAGCTGCGTGTTCTCTGGCGACAGAATAAATGCCATGCTCATCCCGACAGACTGAGAAGGGAGGCCGAAGCAGCTGCCCCAGTCACTCACATGTTTGTTGCACTACCTCACAAAGATGTGTGTCTAATAGAATACTCTGGAGACTGTGCAAAACTGAGGGAAGTACTGTCTCTGTAGAAGGTGTATGAGAGCCACCCAGAGAGTCAAGACAAAAGCCTTGGCTTCTCCCTTGCCTGTTCCTTTACCTGAAGCTGGCTGCCGAGTCCTACTGATGGAGTACTTTAATCTCCCCTAAATGTATTCTCTCAAGCATATGCTCAGTGCTTGCATTTCTCTTACTTGAGCAACTTTTTTTTAAATCTTGGTCTTCCAAACATGTATTGCATAAATACTTTTCTAAAAGATAGATCTGACTAACCCACCTGCATCACCCTCAACAGCTCTCCATTCATAAAGTATATTTGTTTGGAGTCTAGCTATAGAAACAGCAGTGGGATTCCTATTTTGGTTTAGGACATGGAAGAAAGGGAGCAGAGAGTATTATTTCATCCAAGAGATTTATGGAAAATAAGATTCTTTGTGATCTGATCCTAACTAGTTTGTGATATTCTCTGCTCTGAGCCCTGTTCTCTTGTTAGACTGAACTTCCTTTCAAATTTCAAACATTCTTCCAGATCTGTTTTCCCCCTAATCTCTGGGGTTTTACAGTCTTTCTCTATCGAATGGTCTGCACATGCTGTTAGCACTCATTTGTCCTTGAAAGCAGAGCTCCAGTGTC